AAAAAAAAAAAAAAAAAAAAAAAAAAAAAAAAAAAAAAAAAAAAAGAGGTTTTGACACTAATACATCATTTCTTTTCTTCCCTCATTTTTACCTGCCTGGCATTTCTTTACCTCTAAGTAGAGGCTCAGTAAATCCTGCTGAGCATAGGCGTCCCCTTTCTGGACACAGCTGTCCGTATTTCACCAACACCCCCAGCAAGAGGAACAAAGATCACTCACCAAGCAGTGGACAACACAGACATTTTTGGGGTTCTGTAGCAGCCAGTTATACATATTCCGACACACAGCAAACAGGTTGTGTAGACTTGGGGCCTGCCTGATAGGCCAACTGCACTCTGAGACCTAAGGGAATGGAGAAAGAAAGTGAAATCTCCCATCAGTTCATCTTCACAAGCACGTATCACATGAAACTTCTGGAAGTGGTGTCCTGTCTTCTTTCCATGTACAGAACAGGGCCTAAATGCAGAAAGACAAACCCAATGCATTTAATTTGTTAAGATCTCCATAATCCTGAGTTACAACCTTGTAGGAGTGGCATTGTGTCGTCTTCCGGTATGGACAGGCAGAGTTGGAAAAAGGGTTAAATTCAGAAAGAGGAAGAGCCTCACATTGTCAATACAGGGTCTAGTACACAACTCAAGGTGCCCCTGAGTCTACTATCTTCCTGCCTCAGTCTCCTGAGTAATAGAATTACAGGTGGGATAGCCTGGCTTATTACGGCACTTGTTTTAGTTTGGTTTGGTTTAATTAAAGAACTCTGTTCTGCCAAAGATATAAAAACACATTCAGAATTCCATTTTAAATTAACTAGACCATTTATGCTAATGCTTGGATTTTTTTTTTATTGCCTTAGGGAGTACAGAATTCAGTTTCTAGTCCCCTTCTTCTAGATGTCTCTTAGAAATTCTACAGTCTCTACTTTCATCTCAGCTCTTCCTGATAGCATAAAAAGGCCTGCAGAGTAAGCCTGGGGTGGCATATGTCTCTTAGTTCTCTCCACCTTCCTTTAACATACATATTTAACAGGTTAGAAATCCAGCATGACATTGCTTGGTCTGATCTGTCTGACAGTCAAATGCGACAAGTTGTGATTAGATGACAGTTTTGTTCACGAGAAAATTTGCTGTCCCCGGTGGGGAGTTGTCTACAGCCTTGCTGCCAAGCCCGAGTCTTTTGAGCATTATCCACTAACGTCAGTGGCACTGGCTGGATGGCCAGATGCCTCGCTGTGGAGGGCTCATGCCCTAACTGGCTACATATTTACCAGTCTTATGTGCAGAGATGTGTGGGTACGCATAGAGGCCAGAAGAGGGCACAGGATCCCCTGGAGCTGGTTGCTAAATGCTTATGAGCTGTGAGCTGTCCTACATAGGTGCTTCGAGCTGAACCCTCATCCTCTGGGAAAACAGCAGGTGTTCTTTAGCACTGAGGTCTTAAACGTTGAGCTAATGCTTATCTAATGTATATCTTAAAGATGTACATATATATCTTCAGAAAGGATGGGTGAATAAAATTTGTTAGAAATTTTTTACATTACAGCAGAGTGAAAATACAACAACTTTTCCCCCTGAGGCAATGTTTTTAAAGTTCTTAAAAACTTTATGCTAACCACCCACACACCACATGTCAATATCTGAAATGAGTCTCAGCTAAAAGCTGGCTAAATTGTTCTTAGCACAACAGGCTAACAGCTCTGGAATCATTAAATCAATCAAGCAAATAATATTAATTTAAACCGCCCCATAATTATATCTTTACTTGATCTATAATTACATGGCACTAGGCAAACACATAATTAGAAATTTTTTTTAAAACATGTACTCTGTCTAAAGGAGGAGAAACATTAAGACATAAACAAGCACACACACACACCCCAGAAAATTAGGAATTTGATCAGTGGCAGCTTTTTCTGTGATTCTCAAGGTCACACTCTCCTAGGCTGTGTGACACTTCATCATGCCATCTCCAACCTCCCTGTGCACTCCTGAATTCACTGAGCATCAGAGAATGCCATGGCCATCACAGGCCCGCCACGAAACTGGGAGAAGAGGCCTCAAACTCGCAGAGATCCACCTGCCTCTGCCACCCAAGTGCTGGGATTACAGGCACACACACCACAACACTTGGCTGTCATAATTATCTTACGCAAGAAAAGACCTGAGTCCAGGTAGCCGTGGAATGTCTTGTTCAATAAAAGGAACAATTGAGATATGAGCCTAAGATAATTTTTTAAACCTTATAATTTATGTGTATTGTAGGATTTCATCCCAATAAAATTAATAAATTCTACCACAGTGCCGTGCCGATAGCTGTTAAGAATAGCTCCATAATGCATCTGTGAGGTAGTAGCTGCACCATGCCTCCAAAGAGACATTCAGTCGTGAAAGGTTGTGTAACTGCAAAAGCCTGGCTTCCTAGTCCAAGACTCTCTTTCCACCTTCCTATTTCCTGCCCAGACACTAATGTACAGAACCACAGAGAGAAAGTGTGTGTGGTAAGCTCTCTCCTCTGCAGCCACCTCCTCCCCAAGCTCAAACCAAAGCAGAAACAACCACCAGCTGCGGGCACTTGTTCGGTGGCCTCTGTAAGGTTTTACAAGGCCAGTACGAACACCAAGTCATTGACACACCTTCCAAAAATTGCACTGTTTTCAGAGGCAAAAAAAAAAATTACATTGTACGAGATTTGGAAATAATCCACGTGAAGGAAGAGTTTAAAAGAACCAACTGAGGGATGGAGAGATGGCTCAGGGGTTGAGAGCACTGGCTGTTGTTCCAAGGGTCCTGAGCTCAATTCCCAGCAACGACTTGGTGGCTCACAACCATCCATAGTGAGATCTGGTGCCCTCTGCTGGCCTGGAGGTACTATTAACTGGGCAGAGAAGAGTAAACCTAGGCAGCACTGATAGGCTCTGCTGAGAACGTCAAAACGTTAGGCAAGCTTTGGCCTGATCTCTATTCACCCAGTTTTTTGTTTTTCCAACAGTATTGCCAAGAAATGAGCGAAGCAAAGATGCCTGATATTAAAAGGCATAGCTACAAATCTATGCAGAAACCAACACACAAGCGCACACACATTCACACACACACACACACACACACACACACACACACTTGCATAGTTGCAGTGTTAACCCTGGGGATGATTTTAAGGAAGATTTGGATATAGACAGCAGTGATGGTTATACAACATCACCAGGTGCCATTAATGCAACTGGATTACACACTCCAAGAGGTCGAAATGGTGTCGTTGTTGTTTACAAGTTTCCCATAATGTTTTGAATCATACAAGCACTTGGTTAAGTTCTCTAAGGCCCACCAGTTGATCTAAATACACTGTGTTTATCATCCAGATTAAGCAGGTTTGTCTTAGGGCTGGAGTTGGCTTGGCATGAGAGTGTATTCTGCTCTTTAGATGATCCAGGTTCAATTCCCAGCGCCCACATTGGGCAGATCACAACCATAAGCGACTACAGGTCCAGGGAATCCAATGCCATCTGTCCCCTTCCACGGGCGATGGTACACATGGTTCCTACACCTGTGCACATGGCACAGAGAAACTCACAAAAGCATATGAATGAGCATTAACTATTAAATAATTTTCAAAAAGAATGTTTCGCTCGGCTGATTCATCTTACTGGCCTCTCAAATGTCATGAGAAGCACTGATACTTTTAACCCCTGAGGGCAGGTATTTTCTAGGAATAACAATAATTTTAAAAACCTCCTTGGCCGGCTGGAGAGATGTCTCAAAGGTTAAGAGTTCAATTTCCAGCAACGACATGATGGCTCACAACCATCTATAATGAAATCTGGTGCCCTCTTCTGGCCTACAGGTGTACATGCAGACAGAACATTGTATACATAATAAATAAATAAACCTTTTGGAAAAAAAAAAAAAAAAAACAAAAACTCCTTGGCAATCCTGAACAGGCATTAGTGTATTACTTTAAATGCACGTTTACTTGTCCATACTAGTTTTGAGTCAATCCTTTCCTAACTCGAGACTACAAAACTCCTGTCTTATGTGGCTACCTCCTGTCACATACACAAATACTACAAGACTGCTATGTGATTGTCTCGTGTGATTCTCGTTAACTTACATAGCTTAAAACCATAGAAGTTCATCAAAACAGAGAAAGAAAATTCTCAGAAAAATAAAATCTTCCTGATACAGCCTGTCTCCATGACTTAACTCAAATAGTCAACGACATAATCAAAAGGGATGTGAGAAAGTTCAGGTTTCTCACAGGCAGAGCTAGATACCACGAGTCTGTTAGTAACATCAGTCCTGTGGGGTTTAGAGCCGATCTAGGCCTTCACAGAACCGGAAGCAGGAAGGCATGCTTCTAGTCCTCATTGCCTGGAATGTGAGACCCAAGGAGACTCACAGTCAAAGCGTGGGACAGTGGGATGCCAGTTCACAGAGCCTGTGCTGGGAGAGGAGGCCGAGGACTTTGGAAAGGGATGGACCAAATCAAAACAAGAGCTGAGGGTAACACTCACATCTGGGGGACTGTCTCGCTGCAGCTAAGAGTTGAGAGTCACAGGTAAGCTGGTCCAGTTCCACTCTGACCAGCTCTGCTGGAACTCTCAGGGATGTTATGTCACCCGCAGTAGGAGGAGGAGATTCGAGAGTCTCGGTATGCGCACCCTCCCCTCAGTGACCAAATGCTTTCCTTTCCAGCAAAGGAAAGGGCGGAGGGCCTGCAACTCAGATGGCTTTTTAGAGAGAATGTGCAAGTTCACGTAAAGCTGCTGTGTGTGAGCGTGTGTGAATGTGAATGAGTGTGTGTTTGAGAAAGTGTGCGTGTGAGTGTGTGTGCATGCATCTGTACATCCCTGATTGGTACACAGACTCTAATAATGAAACTAATAATGAAACTACAGGGGCTAAATCCACTCATGGTGAATCTTATAAGACACATTCTACTTAAAATGTCATTTCTGCTTAGAATGGATACCGCTTTGTCCACTTGATGCCAGGTGTCCGCCTCTCTGGACCAGCTGTCTGCTGGCCTCCCTGAACTCAGCACTTCTGCAGGCCCCGTCGTTATTATTTACATTCCTCTTTAGAATGCCCTGCAATCTCTCTCCAGCCAGGCTTAAGTGCTTTGACAACAAGAGCCAAAGATTTCTATTCTATTTAACATTTCTTGGCACATCTGTTATTTTAGGAAACGTGTATTAGCCATGCTGGGTACTGTTGTGTATCTCAAATAAAATAAACATGGTTCCTGCTGTCCTAGAGCAAGTGAGAGCAGCCCAGGAGAGAGGCTCAGTATGCAATCTCTGCTCCCTTGTTGTTAAGCCCAGTCGCAAGAGCTTTGGTTATGCTCTTAGGTGCCTTTCTTTATAAATATTTTTATAGGGCTCAGTGGGTAAAGTGTTTGTCCTATAAGAATGAGGACTTGAGTCTAGATCCACAAAAAAAGCCAAACATGGTAGCTTATATCTGTAACCCCAGCACTGAGGAACAGAGGATGGCAGGTTCAGGGGATCACTGGCCAGCCAGTGCAGCTGAGACCCCAAGCTCTGGGTTCGGTGAAGAACCATGTCTCAAGAACTAAGGTGGAGAAGCAATTAGGGAATATGTTGGCCTCTGGCTTCCATGAGTTCCTGCACACAAAAAAATATACCATGGGGATGGAGGACCTTGAAGAAAAGCTACTCAAGCATATCTTCATATGAATAAATGCTTCTAGATCAATCTTATAAATTGACTTAGTCTCAGTAGGAAACCGAGACTGTCACAAACATAACAAAACCAAATGAATTTTTATGAAATGCTGTTCATGATGTTGCATGGTCCTTCAGTTGTGAAAATAATGGCATTCGAAGTAATAATGGCAGTCTCAAATAGTTCCACCTGTATCCCCTACACACCTGCAATCCTAGTACCAGGGGGCTAAAGCAAGAAAGATGAAAGCTCAAGACCAGGCTGGGCTACATAGCAACAACCTGACTCAATAAACTAAAAGACAGTTGTGTTCTATAGAACATCAGGCTCCATTAATGTTTTAAATTCACTTGCTTAGAAATATGTATTAGAGGGAATAACAGTCGAGAGGTTAGTTTATTATGGTAGATTTTAAAGAATTACATGTAAAAACTCTATCACAGAATGGCAATATCAATCCAACCACTTCAAAATAATTTTAATTGTCTGTCTGTCTGCCTGTCTGTCTGTCCAAGCCAGGGTCTTGCTATGTAGCTCAAGCTAGCCTTGAACTTGCTGTGTAGCCCAGGCTGGCTGCAGATTTGTTATCTGCTTGCTTCTGCCTCCAATGTGCTCAAACTACAGGTCATACCAGCTTCAAAATGGTATTCACAGTGCTTCTCAAAGAGTGAGCTCCACAGGAAGGGCAGGAGAAGTGTCCAGGAAGATGTTAGAAAGGCAGAATCTTGCCCCATCATCATCCCCCTGAGGCAGAAGTTGGTACCAATAAGCCTTGCAAGTGGTTTTGATGCACACTGGCATTCAAGAGTGTTCTAAGATCACGTTGAAAAGATCCTTGACAAAACTTTCATGTCTCTCTGACTGTTAGGACAGAGTGAGACTTGGCCGGCACATGGAATGATGCTTTTGGTGTGGGGGACAGATGTGGAGACTAAGCCCAGAGATTATCAATAGCAACGAGAATCTTAAGGGGTTAAAAAAACAGTGTTCTATTGTAAAAATGGGGGAGGGGATCCTGGGTAAAAGCAACTGATGCCCAACAAATGCTTTGCCTATCTGAAATCAAACCTCATTTATTTGTTTTGTGTGTGTGCCCATATTTATGCCACAGAACATGTGTAGACTTTTTTGAAGAAGATCAAAGGCATCAATCAAAAACTACTGTTTTTCTGTAGCAATTACGCTGTGCAGCAGTTCAGTTTCTAAGTTCATAAGCAACCATCAAACGCACCGAGCTCCCAGGTTCAGTAGTATTTCATTAGCAGGGACACGTTCTTATAATTATTCTCACCCAAGTAAAATCTTTAGAATATTTCATAGCAAGATTTTGTTGTTGTTGTTGTTAGAAGGGCCCATAGTTCATAGTTCCTCAGCTCATATGCCTATGATAAGGGCCCCAAGGACATCTCCCCAGACTAAGAACACCCTCGACCAGAGTGAGGCCACATGTGGTGGTTTGAGTAGGTATGACTCCCTTAGACTCAGGTGTTCGAATGCTTAACTCATAGGGAGGGGCACTATTAAGAGGTGAGGCCTTGTTGGAGGAAGTGTGTCCCTGTGGGTGTGGGCTTTGAGGTCTGATACATGCTCACGTTTGCAAGGTGTGACACAGTCTCCTTCTGCTACCTGCAGATTGAGACGTAGAACTCTCCGTTCCGTCTCCAGCACTGTGTCTGCGGCCAGACACTGCCATGCCTCCCGCCATGATGACGATGGACCAAACCTCTGAAACTGTAAGCCCGCCATCTCTGGAACTGTGAAATGTTTTCCTTTATAGAAGTTGCCGTGGTCATGGTGTCTCTTCACAGCAAAGAAACCCTAACTAAGACGCTACATTATCCTCAACAATCATTTCCCAGGAAGAAAGCTCCTTACCCGGCTGTGGAACTTGGCAGTTCGGTAAGACTTCGGTGACAGGTTGTATACTGTGTAGTGGTCAAGGTGTCTGGAGTCCAAAAAGCTACGAATGTCGTCAACCTGATTCCTGAATCCTATGTCAACATTGTCCAGAGGAAAGGACATCACTAGGAGAGGTCACACACAAAGAGGGCAGGTTAAACAGATCTGCTGTCAGGAGTTACGGCCCTTCAGAGCAGCAAACCAACATGAGAAACTTACCGATAATTCTGGATGTGACGTAAGTGAAGTCTAGGTCTCCCTTTGTGTAGCTAAAAGTGAGAGAGGAGAGGGCATTGATTAGAGCAATCTAAATGTGTCAAGATTTCTCTCTCCATTTAAACATCACCAACTGGAGCACTTCTGTCCAGCGGGCGTATTTTTGATCCCCTCAATCTCTTCCCTCTAATCACTGAGAGAAGGCAGCCCAATCCTCTGTCTTCACCACCCAGCCGTGCTGCTGCTGCCGTTCTACACAGGCCCCTTGATGGGCAGCGCCAGGCTCAGAATAGAACTGCTGCGTCTTTCCGAACACTGACAGTTCCAGAATGTCTGTCTATCCAGAACTCTCTTTCCTGGTTGTGAACTGCTAAGAGGAGACAAAGAAGGTGCTGAGGAAAAGCAATTAAAACGCTCTTTCCCTTCCAACTAAGGTCCTGGTTACACAAAAGAGTAAACAGGAAATTTTGTCTTTGAAACAAGATTAAAATGCCGATAAATTTATTGGATTTGACATTTGATTTCCAATCCAAAACTGCATATTGTAACAGAAAATAAATGACTAGTTTTATAATTCTTCAGAATAAAAAAAAAAAAAAAAAAAAAAAAAAAAAACGGGCTGGAGAGATGGCTCAGAGGTTAAGAGCACTGTCTGTTCTGCCAGAGGTCCTGAGTTTTAGTCCCAGCAACCACTTGGTGGCTCACAACCATCTATAATGGGATCTGGTGCCCTCTTCTGGCATACAGATGTACATGCAGAGAGGACACTGTATACATAATAAATAAATAAACGTTTAAAAAATAATCTAAAAAAAACCTACTGCGTTATTTATGTAAGAATTTTTATACAGGGGAGAGAAATTAACTTCTCTCAGTACATAAATAGCTGGGTGCAAAAGTTCTGTTTCCGTTGCAATCCACATTCTGCCTGTTTAGTATCTGAGCTAATTCTCAAGTCACTCAGAGACACAGATCCTCTGGGAGAGTTCATTACCTTGCTTTACACCACAGAGTTTATAAACACAGTCCTTCACTAGAACCCACAATGTAAAGCCAGAGACATTGGCCATCCCATGGCAACATACCAACGAGCTGAGTGCCCTCCAACTCAGACTGGAGGACACATCTAAAGGATTTGACATTACAGTTTCAGTGGCATTTCTCTGTTGATCACAGTCTCAAATTATGTCACCAAGCTGAAGCTGTGTCAGTCCGGTAAGCGGTCGGCAGGCAACCAGACCCTTTGGAAGCCTGGGTTCCGAGAGCCTCACCCGGAAGGATGTACACACCTGCTAACAGACTGGATGACTCGGGAGGATGTGTCTTTGAGGGTGTCTTTCAAGTTGTCCTTCAGGTTACTGAACAGCCTCCCGGCACCACCTTTCACCATGTCAAAAAGGCCTCCCCCATAGCTGGGCTCCATGTCTGGAGATGAGGCACCTGCAAAGGAAGAGCAAGGGAGTTACGGTACAGACTGCCGAGCTCTCTCAATCCCACAACGCGCACTAGTCGTCTCTAAGGCGCTGGGCCTGTCCCACCAGCTGCGTCCAGCTCTCAGAATTCGCTGGCTGCGTTTTGGCAACGCTGCTGATCCCCAGAGAGTACGAGGTACGCTGCGGAGCAGGCGGTGTTTGGAATGCGGGTGTCCAGAGTCACGCCGCCCAACACCTCAGCCCTTACCCACAGCACCATGCCCCTGCCATCGTGCCTGAGAACAGCACGGTGGCTACCGCTGTGACTTCTCAGAATCTTCGGTGTCTCTTCCCTTGTGACTACGGGAAGTTGTACCCTTGTGGCTAGCTCTAAACACTATTGATATTTGGGCCAAGCGCCTCCTTGTTGCAGTACCACCTGCACCTCAGGGTGCTTAGTAGAATCTCTAGCCATCATAGATTCTGGTACTACCTGGAGAGCCAGGTACCCCCTCCCCGGGGGCCTTGGACCTTCGCCTCTGAAAATGCAAGGAAGATGATACTCTTTTTGTCCTTTTCCCTGAACTGTAATCAAATGAGGACATTGTATTTGTGTTTCCTGGCCATAGAATGTTTTGTTTTGTTTTGTTTTAATTTTAAGTTCCTACTATACTTCTACATGCTATTGACATATGCCTATAAGTATGTATTTACTGCCACTCTTCCATACTGATCACAAGAGCTACGGGTGCCTGAGGTATCACTAAGCATCAATTTCAAAGTGAAGCTCTATTGGAAATTGCCAAGAACAGTGAATGCTGGTGAATAAACAAATGGACACATGAGCAAACGTTAAAAGCATCCTCTACTTCCTGGACTATTTTGTCAGCAGCAGCTCTACTTAGAGCTTTCTCAGTGGTACAGTTCCCCACAGTTGGAAATTGCTTTTTATTCTTACTGAGACACTGTGAGACAGGGTCTCATTCTGAAGCTGAGGCTGAGCCGGAATTCACAGCAGTCTTCCTGCCTCAGCCTCCTACATGCTAAGATTACATGTAGAAGATACGATGCCTGGCCTATTACTCAAATTCTTACAGAAGGAGAGATGGAGTCACAAAGAAGAAGGCAGTTCATCGACAGTCTCGGCCAACTAGAAGAGCCAGCTATTCACACCCACATGTGCAATTCCGAAGTCTGAGTGAGAAGCAGCCATGTCCCACCAGCCCCAACCTCTCACCAGTCCATGATTCTGCCAGCTGTGACCGAGACGGTCCTCCCTTGCTATTTTTTCATGACTCTCATCCAAGCCAAGAAATAGCCATCTTGGAAAGCTCAGCTGCTCCCTGATTCTGAAAAATCATCCCAGCTGAGTTTGTAAACCGTCCTCATTCTCTCTTGGTCCAGGAAGGGTCATGAGACCCTCACCTAAGTACCCTGCCCTTCACACCTGTTGTAAGCACCACTGCCTTGCATAGGCAGCAAAGACTAGGGGAAGGACATCTATCTATACAACTCAGGGGTAAAGGTAAGGCCTCACACCCTTGTAAGTAACCCTTCACATGCACGCTGTAACAAAGCCCGATAAACTCATCCGTTCCCTAGAGTGAATTCCGGAGGAATCCTGCTTCAGTTTGTTATTGGGGCCTTAGGAGGAAGGATGGGCATTGCTTATGTCCTCTGGGAAGGAACTTTAACAACTCTGCCTTGCGTCCAGCCCCTGTAAACTGTCTCTGGATCTTCTCCTCCTCCTCCCGTGTGCATTTCATCAGGCAACTCTATGTCAATATTCTCAGAACCAGAGTGCACCCCCACCGTGTCCCCAATCTGCATCTGTCAAACTGACCAAACTAATGCATTACATAGGCATCCGAGCTCTGGTGGCCTCTCAGATCCACAGCTTGAGTGAAATACCAGGGCCTGGTCTAACAGCACTGAAGAGGAGTGTTCCAAGCATAAGCTCTCCGTGCTCTGCTTCCTACTGTATTCGTGACTTTTCTGTTGCTGTAATTGAAAACACCACAACCAAGGCAACTTGTCAAAGATAGGGTTTATCTGGGCTTATGGCTCCAGAGGAATAACAGTCTATCATGATGGGGCACCAGGGTATCATGCAGCAGGTATGTTGGCTGCAGCAGCCACTAAGAGTTCATGCCTCAACCTGAAAATAAAAGTTCATGCCTCAGTTTATGCCTCAAGCTGAAAATAAAAAGTAGAAGAAGCTAACAGGAAATGGTGTGAATTGTTTGAAAACTCAAAGACCCACAGGGACACACTTCCTCCAGCAAGGCCACACCTCCTAATCTTCCACAAATAGTCACCAAGTGGGGATCAAGTATTCAAATGTCTGAGATTTATGGGGGAACAGCTCATGCAAACCACCACACCTTTGAAAGAGGACAGATTGTCTCCCTTTAAAAACATGCATGTATAAAAAGCAGTATCCTGTTTTCATTTCAACTATACTGAGGACAGAGAAGCATAAAGTGCTCCCCCCATTTACACTCCAAAATGCTCTGTCTGAATACCTCCTTGTCTCACAGAGGACATCAAGTTGATTACCTAGACATCTCGCTGACTCTAAGTTTCATGCTGAAGGAGAACATCGAGGCACCGGCCGATTAAAAGATATGAATATCTTTGATCATCTAAAACTCACTCTCGGCATCACTCAGGTCTCAGCCTCCTCATTAGAGCCTTAGAATGCTGCAGAAACCAGAATGACTTTCCAGAGCCCATTTATAACACCCATACATCCAAACTCTCACATAAGCCATGGCACGAAATGAGAAGAGGGGCACTGTGTGATTTCACCCTAATGGCTCATTTGGGAGGGTATGCCAGCTTTCCTTAGTGAGAAACCCTAGGTGGCAAGAGTACAGATTCTGCCAAGGGTATTATTGTCTCGGCTAGATGAAAGAAAGGGGAGAAGAGGAACCAAAGATGCGGTTGGAAAGTGACAGTGCAGAAGTAAACAATGCCCACAGTACAGCAAGACTGAGCTCCAGCAAATTCAGCCACTTGTCTGTCTTTATACTTTCCTATGTTTTAAATGTTGGGTAAAAAAAAAAAATATCAAAGGCACATCCGTTCAAACCACATCATAATTCCATAAAGGCTGACTTTCCGTGTCTAGAAGTAAAGTGTTCTTGGAATACAGGGTTAGAGGCGCGGCTCAGTGGTAGATCATTTGCATGGAATTCACAGAAAACAAGAGCAGAAAGAAAGAGACTTCTGCATTTATGTCTGGTCTGGGGCTGCTTCCATGCTTCTATGACAGAGCTGAACGGCAGTGACAAACCTGCCACACCACGGAGCCTCTTTACCAGCTGTCCCTTCAAGGACAGTCTCCCAACCCCTGCACTAGATTGTCCATCTTAAATGTGGGAACCATGCTGGCCAGGGTCCTTGGGATCCAAGGATCTAGGAGGGTATCAAGGTCAGAACAGAAAGTGAAGGAGCGTACCATGTAAGAAGAAAAGCCTGGGTCTCTGCTTCAACTCCAAGCAGGTTCTTATCTAGTACATTTTGTCATCTTAAAACCTAAGCCCACAGAAGGCAAACGTCAGAGCCATACCCTGCCTCCCCACTAACCAACCCCGCGTGACCCCCAACAGAGTCACAAAAGAGTTTTCCTGGGGATTATCAGTACATAGAAGAGCAGTACCATACCCCTCCCATTATGAGACTTGCACAGAGGTTGCCTGACTAGTTCTTACAGCACTGGGGACTCCTGGGAAAGAGTACTTCCCCCTGAACTACCCACTGGTCACCTGTCGGTGTTAACCTGGTTTTCAAGGAAGACTGGAGGAACTCAACAGTCATTTGGAAAGCACACCCTTCAAAGGGCTGGCACAAATGTTCATGCGGTCCTCACTGCCTTGGTGTGTGAAAAAGGTAGGAAAGGCAGGCGAAGCTGCCCTCGATAGGCATATTATTCACTTGTGATAACTGAGCCGAGACACTGAGACATGCCGACGAAAGAGATGAAAAATGATGATGAGGGTTTCACAGCCTATTAGTGAACACCAGCATTCCACACATATTCTCACGGTTCATACAAAAAAAGTGCACGTGCCAAGGATACCCTGGACTGTGCCTGACTTGGTGACTCCTACGAAGGCAGGCCCTCCTGTGTGGAATTATATCATGCAAAGACTCAGAGGGAAAAAAAAAAAGATATTGACCACAATCTTGTTTTGAGTGACAAGAAACTACAAACGATGTATTTTAGCTTATTTTTAATTGTGTATGTGTAGGTGTGTTTCAGTTACTTTTCTGTCGCTGTGAAGAGACACCATAACCAAGGAAACTTACCAAAGAAAGCTTTCAATTTGGGGCTCGTGGTTCCAGAGGGTAATGGAGTCTATGGCCATCATGGCAGGGAAGCACGGCAGCAGCCTGGCAGCCAGGCATGGCACCAGGACAGTAACTGAGAGCCCACACATCAATACAACAACCATGAGGAAGAGAGAAAGCTAACTGAAAATGGCTGGGCTTTTGAAACCTCAAAGCCTGACCCACAGTGACACACTGCCTCCAACAAGGCCACACCTCCTAATCTTTCCCAAACAGTTCCACCAACTGCAGACCAAACATTCAAATCTATGAGCCTATGGGGGCCATTATCATTCCACCCACCACAGGATGTCATGTGCCTCAAAGAGATCAGAAGACAGCATCATATTCCCTCGAAACTGGAATTACAGATGATTTTGAGCCATCATGTCGGTACTGGGAATCAAACCCAGTTCCTCTGGAAGAGCAGCTATGCTCCTATTTGCTTATCCATTTCTCTAGCCCTACACTGGTTGCGTATTCCTAAAAACATTGTGTGGTCATTATAATTATTTCATATGTGTGTGTGTACATAGACATATACTTAACTATTAAATTACCTTGTAAAAGAGTACAAATAGTTAAAACTAAGGATAAAATGAAAACAAAAATATAAACATTATAGGCCCATTCTTGTAAGAGATAAACGTTGGAGTGTAGAGAAAGAATTCAGAAAGGTTATATATTTTGGTG